GATCAGAGCCTGGAAGAGTTATTCAGCTGTGAATACGTAGTATGTTCAGTGCCGATTCCCTGCGGGCTCCCACGTGCTTGCAAGCAGAGCTCACTGCTTACTTACGGTCAGCCCAGGGACCCCACTGTGCATTTCTGCATTTGTTTGCTGCGTGCTTTTCACTTCCAAGCCTAACGCGGCTGCCGGTGGGTTTACGTGGCCGCTCTCTGCTTACCCCAGAGAAGATCACGAGCTTCTCAATCATCGGTGTTTTATACAGCCGTGGTGGTAACCTTGTACTCATTGAGTCTGAGAGTCTGCCGTGTGAGCCTTCACCCACTGAGGTCTCTGGGCGCAGGGGGGAGGCAGCGGCTGCATGTGCAGGCTGGGCTTTGCGTCTCCCGAAGACGTGAACGTGCCAACCAGCACATCCAGAGGGCTTTAAGTAATGCTGGGAAATGCAGATTCCCAGATCCAAAGATCTGGATACCCATCTTCATTTCCTCTGAGGCAGGGAGGACTGACCGTCTGAAATTTGGTCTGAAAGAAGAAAAATCTTCACTTTTACCCTGTATTACGGGAGAGCTAAAAGCGGCCCACATTGTCTCCAAAGTGGGAAGCGTGGCACTGTCAGTATTTCATTTCTTTTCTGGATGCTAGAAAATGACCTTCATAGCTCACTTGAGGCTTTGTCTCTTTAGAGTTATGGGCCATTCTCTTGTTAGCGGTAATAAACCGCATTACATTCCACTTCGCACTGATGGGGTCTTTCTACATAAAGCCAGGGAACTTAGGAAAGAGAAAAGAAAAAGGAAAAAAGGTCAGTGAATTTCGAAATGTGCTTATTAAAAAGGGGTATAGAAGGGAAAAAGCTCGTATCGCTTGTCCAGCGACACGTGTTGTATCAATAAGCCATGATGTTTTATACACTATCTGTGATGCACGCACATCGTTTGGTGCGTTACTACATCATACACGTGGGGCTCCCCTGTGCCCGCAGGAGGCAGAGGCAGTGCCCCCTACTGCAGCCACCATCAAATTTAGGGCTCTGTTTTTAAATGACCCTGCCTGGATAGCAGAGAGCAGGACAGGGCGTGAAGCGCAAGCCCAAAACCTTGCTGGTGTTGTGCTGTGCCTTTAAATAGCGCCCAGAAGCCCCCTTATCTCCCCTCTGCACTTTTGGCCTCCTGACAGGCCTGTAATTAGTGCAGATTTTTTACGTTCATGGACAGATTGGAAACTTGGAGAGCACTTAATGAAAGAGGTCAGTTACCTTGACCAGGCTGAAATTGCAGTTAGAGGACGCCGCTTGCTCCCGAGGCTGGCAGCAGGCAAATACATGAATATTAACGTACCGCAGGCAGAAATGCAAACCCTGTTGGTAACACGCGCAAGGCGAGGGCTTTGCATTCAGATGGTGGCATCCCTATAGGTGAAAATCATCTTCCAGGGACATCTCCTCTTAGATTTGCTAAGGCAGACCCTCGTATAGAAATACCTGTAGTGAGGAGCTGGGTTAGGACACGACCACAGGTCCGAATGGACTAGCGCCCTAGGTCAAGCATCCTTCCGTACGCTTTGAGTCCAGAGGCCAAGGGCAAGCCATGTGTGTCTTTTATGATTGGGCCAGCGTGTTGTACAGCTGTAAGGGTGTTGCATTGACCTCATAGGGTGGTGATGCTGAATCCGGTTACTGCAATAGGTTTCTGCCTCGGGGAGCTAGTTTTGGTGGGGAATTAGGTGATGGCTTGGTTTGCAATCAGGACCGACCGGGGCCTCCAAAGTCCTCACTCCTTTCAGTTGAGCAGTGGGCGCGTAATGCCGTTTTATTTATCTGTTTTAATTTCTCAGTCAATGCTAAGCTGCGACGGAAGAAAAATAAGAAACCTGCACTACAAATCCTGCAAACAACCGTTAAGCTGGGAAAGCTCAAATCCTTTTGTTTCTGGATCTCTCCACTTAATGCATAATGGGAGAAGAAGCAAGACCCTGGTAATAATTACACAATTAGAATTGAATCTTATGATCCTAGCTGCAAGGGTTTTTATACCGACGTGCAAAACAACACGTCCTGTGCTCGTAAAAAAAAAAAAAAAAAGAGCAAAGGATGCCTTTTAAACATTTATTTTTACAGCGTGTATTTAATACTAAAAGTGATTATAGTGCGTTGCTCTTCACCTTAATTGTTTGGCAAATGTCACGGTGTAAAAGCAAATCCCTTTCTTGCACTTCCAGAACGCCGTGACATTCTCGTGCTGCCAAAGAGCCCCGCGAGGCGCTCAGGGGGGCCCCTTCTCTGCGAGCATTTCATAAGGCTTTGCACACCTGAGCATTTTGGGTGGATAGCGATAGGACGAGAGGGAACGGTTTCAAACCGAGACAGGGGAGGTTTAGCTTGGATATCAGGAGGAAGTTTTTCACGCAGAGGGTGGTGAGGCACTGGAACAGGTTGCCCAAGGAGGTTGCGGATGCCCCGTCCCTGGAGGCATTCAAGGCGAGGCTGGACGTGGCTCCGGGCAGCCTGGTCTGGCGCTTGGCGACCCTGCGCATAGCAGGGGGTTGAAACTAAATGATCTTTGTGGTCCTTTTCAACGCAGGCCATTCTATGATTCTAAGTTATTTCCTTCCTGCTTCTACTGCTGGAGACTGAAGTAGAGGCAAATCTTTCAGGTGTGCGAGTCCCTGCGTGACACAGACCTGGGTTCAGACTGCTCGGCTGCCAACAGCAGAGCTCCTTTCTGCTGCAGTGACTGCCGCGGTGTGCGCTCAGAAGAGATGACTGTCCCTTCGGCTCCAGGCAAGGGATGTACGTCTGTGCGTGTGCATTGCTACCATACGTTTTGAGCTGGCATAAGGCCAGGGCCGTACGTCTCTGTGAAGTTTGTATCGCCGTGTGTGTGTGTAAAAAGCTGGGCTGCATTCACTTTGCAGAAGTCAGCTCCGAGTGTGAGCTGTCACGGGGACCTTTGATTTATACGGCCTTCTCTCTCAGTGGCTCTTCGTACAGGATTTCTGCATGAGGCAAAGCCTGAAATTGGTGATGAATGCCTACGGAGGGCTACAAGGACAGAGCTGTGCCTGACCCCTGACTGGTACAGGTTCCAGTGCGGCGTTACAGGTGAGCAGCCTTCCCAGGGGAGGCTCTAATTTGAGAGAGCCTGTCCGTAGCAGCAGCGGTCCAGAGTCTCACTGCGTCCTCTCCATCAATCCCTTTTGTCCCCTTCGAATAAAAATGACTGGGAATCCGGCGGTAGCGCAGGGAGAAGCCAAGGGAGGTAACTGGGGGTACTGGCTCCTTCCCCACTGCAGCCTTGTCCCTGCGTGGGAACACAGCGAAGGGCAGAGAAGCGGTGACCCCAGGGAGGCTGAGGGAAGGGATTATGTACGGACCCTGGAGTGTGGAGATCAACTCAACCTCAGAGTGGGGTGGGCAGCACGTGTTGGCCACGCATTGCTGCGTGCTCACATCCAGAAATGTCAGCACAGTTCTCACCTGGTGTGCATCTTCCTCTTCCCCATCCTCCCGTTCGCCTTTTTCTGTCTCCAAATAAATCCTACAGGAGAAATACGCTACTTTCCAGCATCACGCTGACCCCCTTTCTCCTCCCCGCCAGCCTCAAAATTAATTAAATGATGTCACGCTTGATTTTATCTGATTTGGAAGCAATTCATCACCCTTTTGCCGGTTCTATTAGTCCAAGCGATCAGCACATTAATTCATTTGTGAAACTAAGCTCAAGGGTAATTACAGCGAGGAAGCGTAATGCTTAAACGTGTTAATGTCTATAATCAGAACTATTTTCTCAGTGCAGAACAATTGTTAGACAATTACACGTGGATATGCTTTAGATACAACTGAAATACATATGTTTTTAGGATCATCAGCGCAAGGCTTTTCCGGCAGAGAGGCGAGAAAAGTTGGGCAAATTCCAAAGGATGCTCGTCCTTCGCTGTGTGCGACCTGACAAAGTGAGTACAAAGCTACCGCCTTATTCAAAAAGCCCCGCGTGTATTTTAGAAACAAAAAGCATTTTCAAGTACGCATTGCAACCGAGCGGCTGCGGTTCAGCCCCAGCAGGCAGCTAAGCGCTACGCAGGCGCTTGCTTCATTCACAGCGAGATGGGGGAGAGAAGCAGAAGTGGTAAGACGCTGGAAGTTCACCCTGAGGTAGTCTGTTCGCCAGGTGAAGGTCAGAGTCAGATAAATGCCGTCATTCCAAACGTACCCTCGCTTCCATCTTTACCCTAGCTTTTACGTACATAAGGATAGGACGTGGAATATACCTTTGGTTAGTCTAGACCTGCCACGTCTCCTCCCAGAGAAGCGTAACGAGCAGACTTCTCAATGCAGAAGGATAGGCCTTAAGGTTTTGGGTTTTTTTTTGTTGTTGGTGTTGTTGTTGTTGTTGTTTTTAAACATTTCACTGCATACACACAAATCTCCTGAGCTTTTCCAGCTCAAGGTCATGGTAGGAGCCTCGTGACTTCCCTTTTTATTACGTCTGACAACTTGGCTTGCATAAGTTTTCAACGTCGCTATCCAAGGTCAATTAGACCCGTGTAGGAAGATAATTTAACAGTACCGTAGACTGTTAAGTAGTAATTACTGCAGCCACCCAGATCCATTTTGTTCTACGGAGAGCGTTTTGATTCGGAACCATCCCGAGCATCTGGCTCAAAGGCTCAAATAAAGCGTAGATCGCAACAGATACTCGCCATTAGTCATCTTCATTCAAAAGTCAGCCCAGGAAAAGCAAGATAAAAGTATTCACTTACGTATTTATCGTACATTCACAGGTAATCGGGACTAGTATTAGCTCATGCCTAGCCGTGACAAAGCATTTTGCATAAGAGAGAAATAGGTCAGTTACTGCTTCCGCTCTAGAGAGCCTATTAAGAAATCCTCTGCGCTTCCTCAAACTGCCGTTCAGCTTAATAGTAGCATTTGCACCAAAATAAAAATATTTTTAACGTCTAGAGAGAAAAAAGTGTCAGAGTCATATTCAACTTCTGGACTCGTCCTATGAGCTTTCGGAAGGTTGGCAAGTCTGATCGGCTGCGACGGGTGCCGGTGCCCGTGGGGTATATCGATGTTTGGAGACAAAGTTATCTACGAGACGCTTCCTAGTCGCAGCAACTACTTCTTCAAAGGCATATTGCGCTTCTGCCGGTTTTGCACTTAAAGCAAAGCAAAAGTTTGAGATTTTCAGATGAATGACTCAACTGTCCAATTTAGAGGGTTCAGAACTTAGATCCTCAAGAAGTCATTTATCCGCTACTAATCTTAGCTTAGAAGTATGCTTTTTATGAGCACTACCATTGTCTGAATGGTGCACAGTAGTCCGTCAGGCGATTCGTACGCATCACCATCTGATTCAGAAACTCTTCCACCAGCCTCGCCAGCGGGGTTCAGTTCAGTAACTTTTATTTTTAAATATATTTAGCAAACTTGGAAGTTGCGAGCCCATTGTTTAGCTGTGCTTTAAATAGCATCGGGGAGCGAGTCTTCGATTTAGTTTTAGTTTAGGTGTGTTTAGGTAATAACTTTATGCAATTAGCCCAGCCTCTGAGGTATCAGACTGCTTCCAATAAAGCAGACAGCTGCTATTTTTAGCTATTTGAGCGCTATTTATTCTTGATGTAATCTTGACAGCCACCAGATATGTTTTCAATATGAGACCTTACAAGCAAGATAAAGATCTATTGCACAAAGCCACAAAGGGCTCAGACGACAAAGAAGGGGCACAATTAGCGCGCCCCATCAGAGAGTTCGCCTCACTTCTTTCTCTGTTATTATCCATAGAATTAAGAGACGGCATATCGAAAGCCATTAACTAAAGAAGCTCAGGTAAGTGTGCTTTGGTATACATCGACAGCACGGCCCGCACAAATACCGTAGCGACGATCGGAACGTGAGAACCGTGACTCATTCGAAAGAAGCTTTAAAGCCCGACAGCCTAATTAGGCAGCGATTCTCTATGAAGCTAGAGACAAAAAGCAGCAGTCCGACCAAGTCTTATTTTGTCAGGTGTCTTCCCTCTGAGAAAAGATGGAGCTGCTAATTGTAGTTTCCGGGAATTACTATCACACACCCAAGTTCATTTTTCTACTGTAATGGGTTGTTGGGTGAACAATCGGAACAAAACTAAGTTTTCTTCCAGAAGCTAGACAGTAAACTAGACTTAAAAGGGCTAGAGGCACAGGTTACTTAGTAAATAAGGCATTTTAATTATCAAATCTAAGTTAATCCCATTCTGGCATTACACCATCATTCCTTCGCTAGCGTTCAACCGTCTTAAGAAAAGAAAGAGTAGCGGGGTTTTTTTGTTGTTGTTTCTTTGTTTTTAAATAGTTCGGTTTCGCATTTAAGATTACTTAGTTAACACTTACCAGGAAGGTTCTTAGCCGCGTCATCTTTAGCATGTAGTACTCATCCATTGTCAGATCATCAAACGGCTTAGTAAGAGATAAAAATCTACAGCTGCGACGTTTGGCGTGTTTCTCCCTGCAGCATGAGCCCGGAACAAGAACGGGTATTAAAACCAGGAAAATTGGATGCGTAACAAGCGGACAGGTTTCTTCAGTATTTCTGTCTACGGGCAGAGGAGACATTTCGCAGATAACATCTGAAATATAATTCAGCCAATGTTAGGCAAAAACCAGTTGCGTGAACCACGAGCGAGACACAGCGCGAGACAAGATCTAGACTGACTTCACAGCATTGATAGAAATCATTTTCTGCTTGCCAAATCAAAAACGTTCTCTTCGGATGGAAAAGGAGAAATGAAAAATCATATAGAGTATAATTAGCGCATGTGTCAAGGTATCAGACAGGATAAACTTTCGGTAGGCTTCAGTTTAGGGAAATGCTAGAAAATTTGTTAGTTTTGTAATAAATAAGGGGGCGTTGTCAAGGAGATTTACAGAAATATTTAAAGAACGTGGTTAAGGCAGCGCTTACCGTGGGTCATCATTAGCTTCCCAGCCCTCCAGTTCTATCAAGCCAAAGAAACTTTTTGCCACATCCTGTTCATGCGTGCTTTGGCAGCAGCCTTCGCCATCTGCGAGAGACAGTTCAGAAGTTCAGAACTTGACTCAACACGCAGCTCGTGCTCCCATCGAACCGTCGCAGAGAACTTCCAGTAACGTCTTTCCCCACCGTATGTATCCACACAGATCCAGCTAAACAAGGAGCTTTAAGAGCGAGAGCTGCAAGCAGGCAGGTCAATTAGTAAAAGAACAAGGAACAATCAGGTCCAGGGAGCAGGTGTCTATGCAGGTCTTTCATTGGCAGGCTATCTGAGTACTTTTGCTGTTTCAGAGATTAGCTAGCGCACCTGCAGAAGCATTCCAGTAGCCGTGCACGGAATCTGCTGTAGTTAAGAATATTTGTTTTTTCTCCTGGAAAAAAAATATTGCGCAAGGCTACGGTTACAGAAAAATCTTACATATAAGCCGTGTGAGTCGAGAGCTACAGTTTCCTGCCGGTTTAGAATGGCATCTAGTAAAAATAACTGAAAAACAAGTTTGTTTTAGCTATCAAGATTCACCTCTTAGAGAATTCTTTTAGCATGGCTTAGATGAAATTTAACCTAGTCGTTCAGCACGTTTGCCAAAACAGAAGCGAGATCTCCTGTTTTTAGTCCTCAAGTTGAAGCCTGTAAGGACGTAAGCATTAAGTTTACCAAACCTAAGATGATTTTAACTTTTGATATTAGATTCAAATACTAATCATATCACTTCTTCATCCTTTCTGCTGCATGTAGTCAAATAGCCTTCTCAGCTTATCTGCAAAAAGAGAATCTGCGAGTAGATATGTAGCATAATACACAAAGTAGCCATAAGTACAGAATACGAAAAATTGAAGGTAGATCAGCAAACTAAATACGTAACCTTGTGTTTCTGAAGTTGTGAAGCTGAAAGGAGGTCCCTCAGAAGCGTCTCCAGTAGAGCAGGCTGTAGGGAGCGTAAGTCAGAGGTCCTGTCCTCCCAGGTTTCCAATTTAAGGTGTTTTCCTAATTGGTGACACACTACACCTGTGAAGCAGGGCAGCTTTAAAATAAGCGAGAACAGATGGGTGAGAGCAGGAGCGTGAAGAGTGGGAAACAAGTCTGCTTTTGTTTTAGGTATGTAATCATTATATTTGTTTTTTTTTTTCCTTGCTGTGTTTTGATAAAGTGAAAGAAATGTGGTTTTTTTATGTATGAGTGTATTTATTATTACATTGCATTTATAGCTGTTTTGTTGAAAATGTTTGTGAAAAGCTTATAGAAATGTAACAGTTTTGTGTAGTTTTCATACAGAAAGTCTTGAAAGCATACAGGGTGCGATAAAAGGGGTTGAACCAGTACTGATGTTTTTGAAGTGTTTGGTATTACTTGAATTTCAAGTTAATGGGTTAAAATCTTGTGTTGTTTGTTGATGCTGTTAGGTTTCTGTAACGATGAGTTGGTAGTCATGTAATATTCAGTGTGTTTTAAGGTATATTAGTCAAGAGAAAGAAAGCAAATGGTGGTTTATAAGAGACATGTACCTGTAGATGTTTACAATTGAGTAAGTTTTAAATGATTTTCTTAAGGACTGTTTGCTATGTGTGGTATTGCGCTTACTTTACAATAGTAAAGCAAAGGATAAAAATAAAATCAAATAAAATAAAAAAATAAAATAAAAAGACCAAAAAAGTAAAGGATATCATTTTGTGCTGCAGTTTGCCAAAGCAGGGTACTACGTCTTTTGAAACAACAGCAATGAAGGTATTCGAAAAGCAAAATGTTTTTTGCGATACAAACAATACGCACGCGGGCGGGCTTCCAGGTCCTTGCATCCGCACGTTGCTCTGTTCAGATGCGGGGCGGAAATGATATCGCGGGTCAGTTATTTCAGCCGCTGCAGGGTACGTCTTTATTACAAGATTATTTTGGTGTCTCTTCATACACGTTAAGTTATTTCTCTGAGACTGAATCGGTGCTTCGTTGTTGGTGTAGCAATACTCTCTTTGTGGCTTATAGCGAACTGTTTGAAGTGGAGTAGTAACACTTGCAGAACAACAGGACATTCAGATTTCTTCGTTTCTTTATTTAGATAATGCCAAAGGTGCAGAAATTCATCATTCACCACCTGGACTATCAGTTTGTGGAGCCTCTTCCATTTGATTTGTCAAGTGTTTTCTGACAGCCGCTCTTGCGCAGCACCGGTATTTATTCTTTTCCCAGGAGCCAACCCTATGGCAGCACTCGTTAAGTTAGCCGGCGATCAGGTATTGTAATATCTTCTGTTTTGTTTTTTGTTTTTTTTTTAAGGTAGACGATGCATTTCCGTGTGCATTCGTGTGTTTGTATAAATAGCTAATTGAGTAGAAATTGAAATGCTAAAGCAAGCTCAGAAAACCATTTTGTCTCAGAACACATTGAAAGGGGTCTCGTGGTTCTCCTTAACAGGAAGCGTTAACTGTCAGATAGAGTAGATAGCATCTTAGGATCGTGGGTGGTGTTGGCACTTCAAAGTTAATTGCGTGCATTCTTACTTGCTTTGATTATGATGGTATTTAAAGCCAACAAACTAGCAAAAAATCCTAGCAGTAGAAATCAGCACTTCTGTAAAAGAGGGTTGTTATTTCTAAAGCTCCTATGTTTCCTGGAAATACGTTTCTCACACCGCTCGCCTGCGACCACCAGAGTTTTTAGCTGTTGAGCGGCACCTTGTTTTCGTTCACGTGTTACCCAAAGAGCAGAAATTTCAGTTTGGTATTCCGCAGCCAGGAATAAAAGCGCTCCGGCATCCAGGGAAACGAGAATTGTCATAAGTTTGAATCTCATAATCTTCGCTTGTGAGACTTATAGAAATTCATACATCTAACTGGAATATTTTTTAATTTCCTGCAAAAAAGTTGCATAAATAATAACAGAGGAGATGCGTGTTGGTCTGTCACTTATTCCAATTGTTTTCATACCCATTTATTGTAGGAGCTTAACCCAGAGGCAGCGCATCGGGATTTCAGAATCTGGCTCACCAGCTACCCGTCTGCCACGTTTCCGGCGTCCGTTCTTCAGAACGGAGTGAAGATGACATACGAAGCGCCGAAGGGTTTACGGGCGAACAGACTTCGTTCACATCTGACGGATCACGTACCCGACCCTAATTTTTAAAACAGCTGCAAAAAACCGGTCAGTAATGCGGCGGCGGCCTTGCTTTGCGAAGGGGTTAAGGAAGACGGTGACTACCTAAGTTAGCTCTGGGAAAAAAAGGTTGCAAGTTAAATAGTTGTTCTGTATTGCGCTCAAACTGCTTTTGATTATCGGTAGCAGAAAAGGAAGCGTTTTTTGTTTTCTGCTCGTCTCCTACTTCAGCGGTGGCTTCTTAGCGTGGCTTTGATAAAACGTGTCTTGAAAAGAAATGAATTGAAAAGCACGCTATTTGCCATTGCAAATCTGCAGTGTTGTTCTCGCACGGGCTTTAAGCGCTTGCTCTCTTGAATCGTGAGGGCCAATGGAATTTGTAGCGTTATTACATAAATGCCCTTCCCGGTGCTGGCTGTTTTTATCAAGGCTCAGACAGCTGCGTTTTCTGGAGAAGATTTCTGTGCATCAGCTTATTTTACCAGAAAATATTTGCCATTATTTATCTTTCATAGCACAGTTGTTTTAAATGAGATGTAATACTTTGCTGAAATGTTTTCAATTGCAAACAAAGCCAACGTAAGCTTCGTAGGTGTCGCGCAGATGATGCGCGAGGTTGCTTTTTGACCATGTAGTTATTTTTTTTTTTTTTTTTTTTTGGTGTATTATTGTTCTAAAGAATGAGTGGTGTTACATAAGAGGAAAGTAGCTCAAGTGTAGTATAAATAGTGAAATATTAAGTGTAGAGATCAGACTAAGTACCGAAGCAGTCGCAGATCAGGAGATCTACGCTATAAGAGGGAACCATCAGTTAGTTGTAAATGGTGGTTTTTAGAGAACGCTGGTTGACTTTAAATTAGATGATAGCAATAGCAACGTGGCTGTCGGGTTAAGTTACAGGTTGTGGCTGAATGTTTTTTGCTTTTTTTTTTTCTCTAGGAGGTGCCATACAATGCTTTTTGCTACACGACCAGGGAACGTAAGTATGTCGGCAGAGTCACTGACAACTGGGATCGCTGCGTACTACTTAGCGTTTTGAAGGCATTTTTCTCACCAGAAGTCATTACAAGTAGAGATGACGAATTCGATTCCAGCGGCCTTCGCCGTGTTCTTCCTGAAGGTGAGGTGAATATCTGAAAGTCGCAAATTTACTAGAAGTTTTCTTGGAATTAAGAGCTGGCCTAATTGAAGCAATACTGCATATATGATTAGATACATATATATTTTGGTGTGTCTGTGTGCTTATATATACATATACACATAGATGTATATATATATGCGTAAATGTGTACAGAAAAATAGATACGTATGTAAAATGCACGTGGTTAAGCTTTTGTTGAGTAGCGCTTTGTTGCTGGTATCATCGTTAGCGCTTTAGTGACCGGTAAGGTATGGAAATAATGGTAAAGAAGGAAATGAAATAGTAGTCTGAATTAGTACAGCTTTGTGAAGTGTGCAGCGTGCACAATTTGGTACACTTAGAGCCCGGTAGAGGGACTTAGCTCGCTTAAGTTGAAAGGTTGTTAAGCTTGTGTAAGAGAGTAGGGCAGGGCAACTTTATTTTTTTTTCAGTGTTTTCTGTTACAGCATTTCTAGTGTTTGATATTACAGTCTAGGGCAGCTGGTACAAGTGCCAAATTATGTATTATGTTGTGCATGATGTTGTTTATGATGTGACAGGTGACATCTGGAGTAAACTTCCCTGTGACTTTGACAATGTAAGGAGAAGATAAGGAACCATTTAAAGTGACAGTGTGAATCACAGAAAGGTGGAATCATGGAATCACAATGTTGGAAACAGTGTACAAGATGATCCAGTGCAACTGTGTGTCACCATAAGCACTCAATCATTGTGAAGCATGTTGTCCATGTGTCCCATTGAGTGTGTCTGGAAATGGGACTATGTGTACATAATTGTGTTCTTATTCCAGAAATGGGACAATTCAATGAGATGCAATAAAAAGGTGTCAGTGTACAGAAGCACATGAAGGTACATAGAACACTGCCCAGTTTCATATTCCATAACCATATTTCTGCACAAGAATGGGCGATCTCGTTCCTTCGTTCCTTCGTTCCTTCGTTCCTTCGTTCCTTCGTTCCTTCGTTCCTTCGTTCCG